TTTTTCGTTGTAATACATATTTGTACATATATACCGATGAAACAGGGCACAATAATCTTACAATAGTATTAGTAGAACTACTGACTGCACAATAGTTACTGGAATAATAAATATGACAAATTGTGATTGCAATGTATAAAAAATAATTTAAATTATGTGAAATATAAGCTCCCGATTCGTAGTACATAGGTTTCTGGTATAGAAAATTAGTACATTCGCTGTTGAAAATATTGAAACGTAAACGTAAAAATACAAAATTAGCCGAACCTTCCATAGTTTTTAACAAATATATACAATTCTAGGCAAAGGACAAAGTTTCATAAGCTTTCAAGTGTTTGAACATTTCCCTATAATATATCTCTCCGAACACTTCCTTTAATGTATCTTTTGTCATCCCGCTCAAGTATAAATTTTAGCCATAAATATATAATTCACCAAAATGCAAAAAAAAATTCTTACATCATCTACAATACGATCAAAAACACATCTAAACAGCCAAATAAAATCAATTGAATTCTTGCAACGCGTGTGTTGCACATTTTCAGCAAATCAAACAGGAGAAACCCGCCGATCTTAAAACTTATAATGACATAATTATTTATCAGACACAACTACAACAGCAGCAACAACAGTTGCAACAACAGCAACAGCAAGAAGAAGCCACTGCTTCAATAGACAATGATGGTGAAATGTACTATACCATCGATGGTAAAAATTATAAAATTGTGCGAAAAGGGCAGCAACAACAAGTTATACAAGTAGAGCATATACAACAGAACGATGTAAATGCTACATATGCTGCTGGCAGCACAACACCAGCCCTTACCGTTGCAGTTGATGGTGCAGTGTCGCCTCATGTAATCGTATATAAGACGGGTGTAGGTGCGGAATCACCTGTCTTGCGGCGCAACGTTGCAGGTGGCAGCTCACCCGCATCAACTGTGGCATATTCCTCTGTGATACAAAGTACACCGCCACAACAGCAACAGCTGCAACAACAGCAACACGTTTCCGCGTGTTGGACTAAAATCGAAGATACAAATGGATCTACGGATGGTGGTGGTAGCACAGAAGATGTGAAAAATGTTTTACAACTTCAAGTAAAGCAGGAGAATCGTCAATTGGGCTATGTTACGGATAACGAAGTGGGCGAAAGTTTAATATTTAACTTGCCACCTGGCCTAGAAATTAAGCAAACGTTATATAATCCGAATACGAGTTCTTCTATAGGTAATGCGAGTGTTTTGCAACATACACAACAACAAGCTCAACAACAGCAACAACAGCAGCTGCTTGTACAACAAAATTTATACAATAATAATCAAAAAATGCAGCAACAGCAGCAGCAGGTCGAAAAGCAGCGGCGCCAGCATATGGTGGCAAATATGCTGGTGTCGCCAACGGCTACTAATAATCAGCAACAGCAAACCACTGCCGCTCAACAACAGCAGCAACCACAAACTACGTCTTCCCAAGCGTCACAGATTCAAATCATACCCAAGGTTTGTATTTTATAATTTTCGATTTGTATATTTTCTTGAAACCTTTTGTTAAATTATTCCCCCATTCTTTGCATCTTCGATTTGCTTTAATTTGATTTGATTTATTTATTTTTTGCCAAATTTTTTATTTGAATATTTGACATTTCTTTATCGTTTGCTTTCAACATCTTAACACTTAAAGCTGCTAACACTACGCACTCATCATCGTGTTTCATTTTATTTAAGTATAGACTCTTGTTACTACAGGTCTTTTATGTCAGGGTTTCAAACTGAGAGACGAAATTCCTTGCATCAAAGAAGTTTCATACATAGTAAAGAGCTCAATGGTGAAATTTAAAAAAATGTGAAGTGGATGTTACGTGAATATGTTTATTAGCTTGAACCAAGTCTCCACTTTTCGACTTGCAAACCAAAATAGTTGTCAAGTAAAAAGGAACTGCATTCTTTGTTTGAAAGCATTGCAAGGAAAATATTTTGTTGCTTTTTGAGTTTTCATGCTGTTAATATTTTTTTTCATTAACTGTAATAACAAACATTTTGTACATAATTAAAATGCAAGCGCTAACTTCCATTAATATTTTGTAGAGAAAAATTAAATTCCTACTATATCCTAAAATAACTGCCACACTTAGTCACAATTATTTTATCCATGTGTGAGTTCAGCGGCTTTGCTGTACCTCTGTGAAATTTTCATATTGCACGAACACAACATCTTTAGGAAAATATATGAATATAGCTTTATACTCGCTTAATTATTTTCCAAAAGTTATTAACATTTGTTTCTCTTTGTACCATAACTTCTCCACACGTTTGGTGACGGCGGTTACACATGCATACACACAAACTAATTCTTTTTTTTCTAACTTACACATTTTGATTACAGGGCTCTTACACGATATGTATTTGCATATGTAAATGCTATTTTTTTGTATTTACTCGTATGTACCATATATTGGAACGTATCAAAAAAGTAACATTTACATAGGAAAAACATATCGTGTAACAGGGCTCCTAGTAAACTACCATTTCTGTTATCATTCTGTGTTATATTTGTATTTCAATTCCTTTTTTCCTTAATTAGTGCTGCCTCCTTTTAACATTCCTCTCATATAACCAATTTTTATTTCTGTTTAACAAAAGGGAGTGAAACTAAACAAACCGAATTGTATGTATTTGAACCTGTGACGTTTATTTGCAAACTTTGAGGATGATGCGAGTAAGACTGCTGATATATGAAACATTTTTTGCGATATTGAAAGTCCCAAGTGCAAATATGTACACTAAACTGCAATTGATGGCTTCTTTTCCACTTGATCCTTATGCTACCTTTGCGCTGTTTTGTATGTAATTGTGACTAGGAGTTTGGCTTGGATTTTTTTTGTATTTCAATTGAGGATTGGTGCAGATGTCTAGTTTCTAGAAAAAGAGCGCTTTAAATACAGTAGTATAAAGAAATTTGATTGGCAATTATTATTTAGTTCAAAATGGGTGAACTTTTGTAATTTCTACTAATTCTTGCCTGCGGGCTTTTATGATGTAAGATATATTAGAGCAAAGAACTAATTTCATAAATTTAAAGTCCTTGCTATTTTTTATATTTATCACTTGAAATGTAATTCAAATAAATTTACTATTATCTTTAGATATCTTTCCCAATAAGAAAAATAAGTAGTACGTTAAAAAGAACACTGCTTTTTTCTCTCATTTCAACCATTTTCCATTCTTTTGAGTTTCCGTTTAGCTTTTCTTTTTGTTTTGCCAACATTTGATTTATGTGATATTAGTTTTTAATTTTTTTAACTCAATTCTTAAGTTTTTTTAACAAAAATTCCAGTAGCCTCACGAACCATTTTCTGTTCTTTTTATCTTTTGCAGGTTGAAGTGGAACAACCAAAACAGTTGCCGGCGAAACCGGCCAAGACGCCGCGTAAACGCCAACCCAAAAAGACGCTCGTGACCAACGAATATGCGACGGTGCGCAGTCCTCAGCAAGAAGTCGTACAACACCAACAACAACAGCAAGCACAGCAGCATCATCAGCAGCAACAACAACAGCAGCAGCAGCAGCAGCAAACGCAACAACAACAACAGCAGCAACAACAAGCTACCTACTATGACTTCAATAGTAAATGGAATACACCACTGAAGATTGAGAATAATACGCCTTCACCGGTGGCCCAAACGCCAGCTATAAGCATACCGACTTATGTGAACCCACATGCGGCACAACAACAACAGCAGCAACAGCAACAGCAGGCACAACAACAGCAGCAGCAACAGCAAGTTCAGCAACAGCAGCAGCAGCAACAACAGGTCGCCGCACAACAGCAGCAACAAATACCACAACCGGCGCATATGCAGTCATCACAGGCGCAATCACAAGCGCATTTGACGAATTTGTCTTCATATTATTCGAGCACATTTCCACAACAAATCGCCTCTCAGTACTCGGCATGCATGCAACAGAATGCTGCAACCGCAGGCGCTATACAACACACGCTATATAATCTCAATCAACAGCAGCAACCCCAACAGCCGTTGCAACAGTCACCGCAGCAACAGCAGCCGCAGCCGCAGCCGCAGCCGCAGCAACAACAACAGCCGCAACCGCAGCAGCAACAACAGCAAGCGCAAGCGCAAGCTCAACATCAGCAGCAGGCGACCCAACAACAACCACAACAATCTAGCGCAGAAACCACTTCGGCTGTTAATGATCCAAGCAATAAAGTGATTGTGCCCAATATCGAAGAGGAATTGGATTTTCTAACTGACGCGGTTGCACCAAAACAGGGCTATGCGAACTCTTCTTCAACTACGAACAAGAATGGACGCAGCGCCACCAATTTCGGCATACGACATCCGCAAACCGAAACGCAAAGTGCTACCAGTACGCCAGCGGCCAGTTCGGTCGCAAATAATGGCTTGGCTGCCACGGCAACGCCCAAAGGTGTTGTCACGCCAGTTAGCGAACGCAAGCCCGTTGTCGGCACTTCCATCGGTGAGAAAAAGACACAATTCATGGACAGCTATTTAAAGTTCCTGCAGGGCGAGCGTGACGATTCACCGCCACCGGCTGTGGTGAAGAGTGGTCGCAAGATGAACTATCAGCGTTCGCCGAGTGGCACTGCGGTGAAACGTATAAAAACAGGCGATGATCCAGCAATCGATGCTGCTGCCGGCCAAGGAAACGAGCAACAACCGAACCAGCAACAAGCGGACGTGGGGGACGAACAAAACCCTGTCTTAACAGGGGATGATGCACATCGCATAAAAATACTCTCCCAAACGCAAATATTACCGAAGAAGCGTCCACAGGCACATATGGCAGCCGCCGCAGCTGCTGCTGCTGCAGCTGAAACTTCAGCACCAACAACGACAAGCACCGCATCGGTCATTCAGCATCCAGCTGAACAGCAACAGCAGATACAACATCAGCAGCAACAACAGCAATCATTCCGGCCGTACGGGCAACAACCTCCGGTGCAGCCGCAGTCACAACAACAGCAGGCACAACATCAACAACACCAACAGCAACAGCAATACTGTGCACAATTGGGCTTTAGCGGTGGTGGCGGCGGCGGCAGCAGTCAAGGTATGTTGCCTGACCAACAAAATTCCTCCAGTACTACCACTACTAGTAATACGATAGCACCCACCGCTGCCGCTGCTGCTGCAGCAGCTGCTGCTGGCGTAACGGCCGGTCATCATCATCCTTTAATAAATTTTCTGTGGCCTTGGCACTGATGAGCGCGACTGTGCGTTGTTGTGTTGCATATTTGCTGACTGGTTGATTAGTTAGCTGGTGGCGCATGCGCAGTCGGAAGCTGAGAAGGTGAAGACAAAATGTAAACAAGCGCGTGGATGTGGTGAGAATAATACACTCCCACCCATACACGCCCAATCTTTCTTTCTCTTTCGCGAGACCACAATTTGAGTGGAATAAGATGCAGCTGCTCAAACGCGAACGCTCCCATGCTCGTTCGCGCGCAAAAGACATCTGTGTACAACCAAAAACCGAACGACCGGTTGCAGTTTGAAGCGTTCTAATTTCTATTAGCAAACAAGAAATTCAAAAATAATCTAAATCAAAATTAAAGGCAGCAGAAATGATTTGTTACAATAAATATATAATAGAAAAGATAAAAAATACCAATTGATAAAATGGAATTAAGTATTTTTGACAAAAAGATGCAGCAAAGAAACTAAAGTTCTTACTAAAAAAAAACCTTTTGTGTTTTTATTTAACAAACAAAATGGACAGAACACTCCTATGCATGCAAAATGGGATGTTATCTTATACAACGTTGCTTACTATAATCACTCTAGCCTAAAAAAAGCAAACAATTATTGCATTCAGTTGAAGTCCTTTGAATTAATATGATTTATAAAAATTTCCCGATGTCAGCCAAGTGCGCGCGAACGAGCGTTTCACCTTTTTCACTTTCTTCAGCGTCGTTCAAAGTCACAGTCAAGCGCTAAGATATATTCAGTGTCCGTCGCCATCAAGGCCAAAGCCACGAAACATACAAATTCGCATTTAAAATACATCTTGCACTTTCTCAAGCACACACAATCATTTCTAATATTGGTAAAAAATTTCCTTAAAAAATATTAGTGGAAGTTTTAAGATATCGGTTTCCCTTTAGCCACAAAAACCGTGCAGTGGAAAATAAAATAGAAAGAACTTATATGTTTTAAGGTTAGTAAATGCATTCATGTTGGTTCGTTATGTAAAAGGAATATATTTTGCATTAAGAGGAAGTTGGCTTATACTTTTGATAGCTCATGTCTTACAACTGACAAAGTAATAGGCTCGATAGAATTTCTGTAAGTATATTGCACACGCGCAATTGTGTGGTGAACACAAATTTGAATAGACATTTGACTTTGCACTAGTCCGCATAGCGTAATAACTGTGGTCATACGCTATAACCGGCTAAGTCGACTTAAGAAAGAATGGAGTTATATACGCTATCGTATTCTTCAATCCCTATTCCATGCATACGTGAAATCCCCATCTCGCCAGCTAGGCTACTTAGAAAGTTATAGACGAAAATATTTTGGTTTCCCCATAAGGATAACATTAAAATCCAAATATCGACTTAGGCGGCTATTGCTTATGACCACATATAAATAATAACATGTATATGAGTTGGGTCTACGTAACCGGAACGATCCAGATTTTTATCTGGCTAAGGATTATCACTCCAGCAACACTCCCCAAAACTCTTTGGATAATTTGTATGCTCTTACAACAACAACAACAACAAGTCTACTTCAACACGGTTCGACTGTAACAAAATATAGTAAAATATTTTCATAACAAAATCTAACCAGTTATATCATAGGAAAGTTCTTGAATTGTTATTATCCCCCAAGTACCCACTTTCATTGTACATATTCGCACAATTGGCAAGCAAATACTTATCACCAGGGAGCGGATTTTATGGAAATCGCCTTTTTTCTGCTAAAACTTTAGAGTATATTCGATTAAGAATGTCCACTATTTAGCTTTCATATGCACATTTGATGTTGCCTTTTTTGTCTTTTTTAAATATTTGCCTTTTTTGCCGATTGTAACTTTAAAAAGGTGGTTATGCGAGGAAAAAGCCCTTATTTCTGATAATATAAAAGTTTCACACGATCACGTCGAGCGCATGTTAAGTACATTCAAGACTGTTAAAGCCTGTTCTGTTACAAAAAAAAATCAAGTTGATAATGAAGAAAATCGATGGATAAATAAAAAAGTAATAAGTGGTCATATGAAAATGCGCAAAGATTTTTTGTATGAAAAATTAGCAGGAAAGAATGTTACTCATACACCATGCATACCTGAAAATATCTCGAAAATTTATCCATAGAATAAGAAATTATACGATTTTCGGAATCAGCAAGCAATTGTATGTCGGAATTGGATATGTAGTGGCGTCCGTTGAACATTTTTCCTGTAAACCAGTGTTATTTTTAAGTTTTTGTCTTTTAGTGCCTTTTTTTTGCCTTTTTTGCTATTTCTAGTGCCATTTCCTGCCTATTTCGCTATTTTATTTTGCTTTTTCCAGCCTATTTCGTTATTTTATTTTGCCTTTTTTATAGGTTTTTAGGTCCTAAAAATTCGTTCCCTGCTTATCACTCTCTTTCAACAGGTTGCCTGCCTGGAAATTCCTCCCAACTAACCAACTTATTGAAAAACGAAATATGTACATATAAAACTAACGGAGTTTTAACTACCACAGTATTCCATACTTTATGTTCCTCGTGAACATACATTTTTATACATACACATAACCAACATATCATACACTCGTATCATGCACACTCACAAAATTCACCTAGTTCCTTGCCATTGCATTTCGGCCTTACTTGCCTCGTCTTTTAGATCCACTCACATTGCCGCCTCGGCGCGAGCAAGGGCTACGTAAAGCGAAACAGACAAGCATGCACGCCATGTTTATGAGTTCGGGCAGTGCCGGTGGCGCTGGTACCAGCGCCTTGGCTGACAATGAAGATCAAGAGCCCGATGAATTTGCAGATTCAGACACAGATCCGGTGTGGACACCACAAGAAGAGGATGTAAGTTGTGCTGTATATGTATGGAAAGTGCTAGTTTTTTTTTCTATACGAGAATCCATTTGGTTTTTAGAGCGATGATGGCAGCAGAAGTTACCGCCGTAAGACGTCGCGTCGTAATAAGAGCGCACCGCGAAAATCTAATTATAATGAAGAGTCGGAGCCGCAACAAACTCCGCTAAATCAACAAGTACAACAACAACAGCAGCAACAGCAACAACAACAACAACAACAGCCACAACAGGTGCAGCAACAGCAAAATGTTGATGGCTATACACCGAACAAGGCCAATGCATCTTCGTATTCTAATGCTGCGCACGATGCTGATAATTTCAAGGTAGGATGGAAAAGAAAAATAATAGACTTAATTGCAGAGAAATGTCTAACGGTTTAGCTTAGCTAATCAGTTTCCAGGGACAAAAACAAAAAAAATTATTTAATACCCCTGTGGATAATTTCAGGCCTTTCTGTGAATCAAGAGGCCTTCCACTATACATTCCTGTTTCCTTCCTTTCTTTTTTTCTATGGTGTGGCACAAATTGAAGGGCATCTGCTTTCGCTACACATTGTAGGCCTCCCAGAAGGGCTTTTGTAGGACGTACTTCAGAAGGGCTTTTGGAAGAATTCTTTTAAAGTGGCTTCTTCTTTAATTCATACAAATCATACATCTTTTAAGTATTTGCATAAGATATATTCTAAATATGTTTTATTGCCACTTAAAAAGTATATTGTACATCCGCGTTAATTGTGTATAGGAACCCAGAAGATAATTTAGGTACGCCTTCTTAAGTAAAGCCATTCTAAGAGGCCTACCCAAGAGGGGCTGAAAAAAGTGCTTCCTTGCATGCCTTCTAGAAGGGCTTGTCCATTTACAATTTACGCGAATGCATAAATTTATATTATTTAGCATTAAAAATGCATTTCTATAACCATTTTAAGTTGCAATAACACATATTTGATATAAACCTTAAGAAAATGCTTCAATGATGTATGATTTTTATAAATTAAAGAAGCAACTTTAAAAGAACTCGTCCAAAAGGCCTTCTGAAGTACGTCATATAAGAGAACCTTCTGCACTTTTTTCAGCCCTTCTTGGGTAAATCTTCACTTGTGAAAGCCTACCGAAATTATCTTCTGCGACTATATATAGAAATTTAACTAAAAGTATATTAATTTGTGTTGCCAAATCAGCAAAAAAGATCATTATAAGGTTTTAATTATAAATCTATGCTTATTTCACAGACCGGTGACTTCATAGTTCTTCGTTCGGATTTGGTCAACGATTGGCCTATCATCTGGCAAGTGGATACCCAATGCATTCTACAAAAATACGAACCGTTTTGCCAAAATGGCAAAATGTTCTATCGTAACATGTCCATGGTACTAACAAAATTTAAATTACTCCAACACTTCTTTATCAATCATCCCTTATTTTTCCAGTATTCGTCTTGGAATCTCGATTCTAAGAAGCTATACGTTAAGGCGCCCGTGCGCATACAGGTACAATCGCACAAAGAGACTATCGTGGAATTTATGCGATCCGAGTTGATAGCCGACGATACTGAACAATTTATTGAGAAAATCATGGAAGACTTTTTGCGTTATCGTGATAACTTTGAAATTTATATTCAAACAATGATATCGCAAGTGCTTGATCCCAGCTTTTTCTTGGAAATAACTAGAGAAAAAGGTGCGTCTATGGGTTTATTTATTATGGTTATTTAGTTGAGCTATTTTAATCCCATTCTATTCTTCTAGATGAATACTTTTTGGGCAGCGTCCGCATCATCGACAGCATAATGGACAATTGCAAGCGTAAGTTACTTTCTATTACGCCTTGGACGCGCAGTATTATTGTTTCGATTGAAACATATCCCAAATGTCATGTATTCACTGAATGGGGTCAAAATAATTTGACCCAAAAGAATTGTGGAGGCTGTCATCAACCAGGCATATCAGTACGTTTTCTACTTTTCGGCAATCCTTATCATGCCAACACTATGCAGCCGGTCCCAGTTGATACACGTTTGGCTTGTGAGAAGGTTTGTGGTGAAATACGCTTTTATAGTTGAAAAATGTAATTGAATTTGAGGTTTTAAAACGCAACTAGGATATACTTTTATGCCGCATTTGTGCTGCTCGCGCTGACATTTTCCACAAGATTGCTCATGAGAAGTTTAATTTGTATATACATTGTTCGAGACGTGTTGCTGAGCAACAACAAGAATATCCTGGTAAATCTTCTACGGAAATTTTGAATGATCTACTCGCCGAACACAACTGGGTGGATGAGGTAAGGGTAATTTGCTGTTGGTTGCTTACACCGCTCTTACATGATATTTATGTGCTTATGTTAGGGCTACTTTTTTGTATCTACTCGTAAGTACCATATATTAGAACGTATCAGAAAAGTAGCATTTACATATGCAAATACATATCGTGTGAGAACGCTCTTAATAAGCACAGCATTTTCAATACTATTTAAAAATACATGGACGATTTTTTTACATCGTTAAAAGCTGATAATTTTGATCTAACCTAATATTCTCCTCTATATTCAGCTATTCCGCAACATGCGCAACTCGTGGGCCGAGGTTGAAAGCTTAGAGCGTCAAAAACGTTTTCGCGAAGTTTCACAATAAAATGAACACGGTTAAGGCATGCTAATAATTTACATTATTGTCTTTGGAATTGGTGCTCACGTTCTGTCCGAGTTCAGAATAAATATGCCGTGCAATAAGTAGCCCAGCAAACAGCTAACGAAATTCCTTAAAAACTCTAATTACGCAAGCAAAACTAAATGATTAAAATTACTACATACAAAACAAAAATTGAACGACAAAAAATATTCTTTTACAAACTGTTATAAGCGCGTAAAATGCAACATAATACATTTTTGTGCAAGCTATAGAACAGTTCAGCTAAGCTAAATACAAATATATACATACACATATAATAGCAGTTGCTAAGTACATATATGCATACATACGAATTCTACAGACGTACTAAATATATAGCAGATAAGCAAACAATTTGAAGTTTAAGTAAATGCAGAGAAGAAATCCTGCCTATTGCTAAACATTTTGAATTGGTCAACACATGTAGATTAGAACGACTTTTTATATTTTTTTTTTTTTTTTTTTTAAAAGCCTAGTAATATTATTTCTATTCATTCTTTATCAAGCTCGAGGTTTGCTACTTGTTTAATTGAAATTGATTAAAAATGGAATTAGGCGAAGATGTTAATAAATTTTGGAATAGTTGTTACTTCACAATGCTTCACCCTACTGGCGTCCCTAAATTGTAGCGCTAAGCGTTACGTTTTCTATTGTCAACGAGTGTCAGCGCGCGCTATCCCCAAATCAACGCGGCAAAATTTTTGACGTTTTTTCATTTCCTTTCGTTTTTAGTCTCGTTTCCTCTTTCACTTTTTTGTCCTTTCTATTTCTTTCCGTCTTCTGCATCCAACTCCAACACGTAACGCCGTGTCAAAAATGAAAATTCCATTTGCTCGCGTTATTATAGGATGCTGCATACAAATTGTACGGGCATGAGGATTTTTGACAGTTGTTTGGCGCTTGACGCGTCAATTTAGGGATAGCAGTTAGACATGTAGTGCTATGGTAACATGATGAATAAGGTTTGGGGAATGCAGCCTAAGGGTAGTCCCTGGCAAGGTATAAGTTTGAGTCGTTCGTTGCCAAAATTTGAAATTTAAAAAATTGTCCTTGTAACTTATCTTGAGCTTACTAAACAATTGAATAAAAATAATTCTTACTATTCGCTGGCACTTATATTTAGGTTATTTTCTATGACAGGTAGCACATAAACTGATTATTTACAGTTACAGCCTTATTATCTATCTCGAACGTTAGGCCGCACAGTTGGCACTATCGTTGTTCTTCGTCTTGCTTTACGTCGAGTACGTTGCAACTGGCTAGAATGATATTGTCGCTACAACAACAACAACAACAACAACAACATGTTGCAAACGAATCGGATAATAAGGCTGTTAACACTTTTTGTTTGCTACATAATTTTATTATTCAACAAAATCTTCGTGGAACACCAAAAACGCATCGCGTGTTGTGACGTTCTTGCAAGCAATATGGCCAACATATGTATAATGAATGATGCATTGGCAGATGTAAAAAAAAAAACCAAAAATATGCATTATGTATGTATATGTTAATAAAAATTTAATTTATATTTTATCAAGATTTTCGGTTTATATATTAGGGGTTACAAAATTTATAAAATCGCATACAAATCCTTTCTAAGCGTTTTGAATCTGTGTCTTAAACACATGTAAATAATCCATAATTGAATTTGTTTAAAAAGGAAAGTTAAAATAAATACCTACGAAGAAACTCAAACTGTTCGTAACAAATTCGATTTACCATTAAACTACTAAATTCTATTAGCCGCTCAAAATGCGTTAGATTTCCATATATTTACACACGAAAACGCACTTGAAAACCCAAATAGTGACACTCTTTCAATCAAAATTATCTTAGCTTTAAGTTTGGTCCCATTAGTATAGTATTTACACACTTTAATATACATTTAAAGTTATATTAATGTATAAACTTCACTTGTTTCTTAGACGCTAACTGAAATCAAAAGGAAATTCATTTGCAGTTAAGTTAGGATTAGCAAAAGCTATTCCTCTATTGTGTTTGAATTACAATTTAAAAATCTTTGGTCCAAATTTTCAACAGTTTTTATATTAATATTACTCTATTTGAATTTACTTTAAAATTTGTATAGTCTTAAGTTCTCACTTGGAAATGTACAGAACACAAATAAAAATATATGTATACATATAAACATATATAATCAAATAATATACGTTTTTCGGGCTTTTGCACATTTCCCTATTGTAATCACAAACGACACTTTAATGGAACTTTTACCAATCCTAAGAAACATTATCTTGTGTTTAATGACAATATTTTTTTACGTTCAATACTGTTATGAATAATATTTTGCTTAATTCTTTTCTATTAAATTTGGATAGTTTAATTCTATTTCTTTTCATAGGTATGTTTGTTAGCTTCTATGAAATCGCTGTATCACTACAATCCAACTACATATGCATATAACAATATTAAATATAAATCTTTTAACAACAAACAAAATATTAACTAATATTTTTGTTAGAATAAACGTTAAATTTAACAAATTATCACTTTTTCCATTACTCACATTCCCTTAGCTAATATCTAGCAAAACGCAAAAGGGAATAAATTCCCAAAATTGTTTTTTTTTTTTTGTATAATGTATGGTAATGATTTTCTCACATGCAACTCGCGCCAAGACTGATATGATGAATTTCTAATAAAGTTGATGGCGGTTTGTCCTTCGTCGTATACACGTACTTCTTCTTTCACCCAATTGAGTGTCAAGTTATTGCTGCTTAAAATCCACCATCACTACTAATTCATACACTTCAATCTACACCTTTCACTAGCATTTGAATATGGCTTCAATCATTTCATATTTCTGCAAATCCAAAATATTTCCAATCATACGCGTTTTGAATATTGGCAAGGTACGCTCCGTCAAGAGATCGTATTCATCGACTAATTCTACGGCGCTTTGATTCTTAGGCGATATTGTTCTGTTATTTTTGCTACTCTTACTCGGACTTTCAGCTTCATTTTGCACTTCATCCGCATCCGAAGTATCCGATGATGATGATAGTTCTTGTATCGCTTCAGACACTTCATCCAAATCGGGTAATTCACTGGCGTTCGATACAAAAAACGGCACTGAAAAAGCGGACATACAAAAGCCATATGCACCGAATTGGCGCAATTGCTGTCTGAATACTGCTTCGGGATACAATACTATTGGGTCCAGTTGGTAGTCGCGTATAAACTGTGCCAAAGTGTCATAGTAGATTTGCATAAATTCATGAAAGTGGGCATCTCGAAGCGACTTCTCTGTGCAGGCGTAAAGGTAGTGCACCAAATCCAAAACAGGCGGCGAATATCGCGAAATTTGAAAGTCGATCAGTTTGGCCTTGACGGCGGTTTGTTGATTGGTGTGCTGCAGATTGTGTTTGAATGAAATTTGAATTTGTTAAACTTCGAAATTAAAGCAATAATCAATTGAGAAAGTTGTGTACTGTACAGAAAATCGCATAACATTTTCTTCTTTAATCTAGTTCCTCTTCTCTATGATCCCATTACAGAATCCACCGTAGTCCAATTTTTCGCGAAATCTATGAAAATGCGATCACTGGATCCGAATTGCTGCGAACGTATGTATTCAAAGTATACGCTACGTTCGTAGCTATTCCGATTAAACGATAGTATTTTCGTAGATTTCACAAAAAATCGGGTACTACGATGGATTCTGTGATAGCCCTGAATGATTTGACGCTAAAATGGGTTATGGCAGTCGTTCCGAAACAGAACTCACGGCGTTCATCCATCTATTTGCCGAATTGCCAGAAAACTTTGAGCAGCCTTAAATGTCCAAAAGATAGACCCCCCTATTATGAACTTCCATACGATAGACGATAAACGCTTGCAAGCGTATCGTATAAAATCAGTTTTCGTATTATCGTTTTCATACGCCCGACAGATGCATTATTGTGAATGGCTGTGGTTTTAGTTCACTTTTTATTGTGATCCAATACAAATCAGCCACGCTAACTATCGGATTTTATGCTAAAAACATCGATTCGTAATAGGGAATAACAGAATGCAAGCGTTTATCGTGCATCGTATGAATTCATTGATGCCCTTCACGAATCATTTGACTGGACCTTATCAGTGGGGCTTTAGACCTGGAAAATCCACCATCGATCAGATTTCCACAGTACGTCAAATTCTGGCGAAGACACTAGATAAGTGAATCCGTAAACACCATCTTTATATCGGTTCTAAAGCCGGTTTTGATATCACGAGAGAAGTGCCTGAACGATGCCAAGTCTAAATTTGGGATCCCCGCAAAACTAATACGGCTATGTAGAGTGACTTTTAGTAAAAAATTCAGCTCCGTTTAAATTGGAAAGAACCTCTCCGCGTCGTTTGATACCAAACGAGGTTTTTGACAAGGCGATTCACTTTCGTGCGACTCTTTCAATCTGATGCCGGATAGCGTAAGAAGAGCTGCTAATCTGAATCGCAGCGGCACTACATATATACAGCAAAAGCGTGGTCCTGCTGGCATATGCAGATGATAATTACATCATGAGCTTGGGGCCAAGGGACATCAGCGCAACAGTTTCCGCCTTAGAAAAGGAAGCGAAAGAGGTTGGTCTAGTGGTAAGCGAGGACAAAAGACAGTACCTACTGGCAATACATAAAAGTCCTTGCGTTTTGGAACACACCTCACTGTTGGCAGTTATAAAATTGAAGTAGTGAAGGACTTTTTCTACCTGTCTACCTGTGATCCAACATAAATACCACCAGCAATGTCAGCCTGGAGATCAAACGAAAAATAATTCTTGCCACAGGTGATACTTTGGACTCGTCGTATAAAAATTACGCTTTTCAAATCAGTCATCAAGGCCGCAAAAACATGGACGATGTCGATCAAAGATGAGAACGCTTTATCGACCTATTCGCGCGGGCGACGGGTACCGAGGAAGATGGAATGACGAACTGTACGAGCTTCTGAACGACCTGGGCATAGTTAAAGGCATACAAATAAAACGATTGCGCTGGCTTGGGCATGGTGTACGAACGGATGGCGGCGCTCCAATGAAAAGATTCTTCGACTCGGCACCCATTAGTGGACAACGGAAGAAAGGACGCCCACGAACACAATGGAAGCACCAAGTGGGGGTGAACCGGTCTGCACTCGGGATGTACAACGGGCGAAGTTTTTCGTCTCGGCCCAAAATGACGAACGGTTATAAAGTCAAATAGGAAGAAAAGGTTAACCTTGCAATACAGAAGAATGTCGCAATAGTTTCTTATTGTGATTTCTGTTTATAATAAACAAGAAATTACAAGATGCAGAAACATTTTTTATCTGTTGAAATCTTTCCTTTATACATAGATATGGAGTCGAGAAGAACATTAAAAAGTTCTGCTTCACACTTTTGGATCAAATAGTGGGTCAACGAGAGCCTCTTCACTCGGTCTACGTTTATATGATAACACAAATTACAGAGGAGCATTAACTGAGTTCCAAATTACATCGACACACAGCATCAGCCACTTCTATTTCTAAACCATAACTGATGGAAATGTCCAATATGAACGTTCAAATGCCCAACTAGGACTTAGTTGCATGGGCATTTCCATCACGGGTCGCCCATTGTTAAACCGGCACTGCGCATAGTGACTGGAATTATTACCGGACATTGTCTGATTGGAATACACGCAGCCAGCATGCTAAACCCCTGGAACGACTGCTGTTGAAGTTACATGAACAAGGGTGAGTAGGAAACCATGCAACACATTCTCTGCCTTCTCGGGATAAGATAGGGAGACAAAGCGAATGGGTCTGGTGGTGAACGCGTTCAAAGCGCAGTATCCCCTGTCATCAAACAAACAGTCAGAGCATAAGCCTCTTGACACCCACTTGTCACTGTTGACATCGTTAGATTCCTCCAAAATATAGAGGTGGCTTCGACAAAAGTTAAAAATGAATGTTTGGCGCTAATATTTTTGTTAAGTGCTTGACTGAACTTCTCCTCAAATGTTATGCTCCTTGATGGAGGGACCTACTGCCTCCAAATGGCCAGAAGTTCTTTTATGTGAAGTTATTTCACGGAAGAAATACGCTAGTTGGTTTGACATTGCCTGCAAATCGGAACCGATGTTAGGAAAAACTATTCCTATGCTTTTGATCGGACCGGGGATCAAAGTTCTCCCTGTGGTGTGTTACCAATCCATCTGTATCTCTCTCCATTCTTCCAGTCATCATGGAAAACTTACATCAAATTCGTAGAGTATGTTGTTATTCCAGAAGTCGCCATGACAAATCACCGAATAAGGCGCATGCGCTGCCCCATTGACTGCGTCCAAACAAATTTCGTGAAAATTTTCCTCGATTTTCAGCAACGCCTGTAGGGCCTCTCTCGTTTCGGCTGTATCCTCGCCGCTCGCCTTCAAGTCGGCCTCGAGCATGTGACGAGTTTTTCGCACATATTTCTTACCGAACTCCAACGACACAACTTCCATATCCGCAGTAAAGAGATTGTCATCCATTTGCGCTACCAGCGCGGCAAACCGCTGCGGCTTACGTGCTTGCAACACGAAAGACATAGCATGCAGCTGCGCAATGGCGCGAAAAGCGCATACCACCAAATCATATGTAGGCAAATTATTACGGGAATTAATAACAAAGCCCGTTTTATTAAGGTCCTCAAATATTATAAACTCTGCGCCATCCTCCAGTGACGCATGCAACATTTGCGGCACGGCGCTAAAGTGTGTAGATTGCGCGTCGCCATTTGTCATATCCAGCGCATAAAATTCGCAAACACCGTAGCATATATGAAAACTTCGCGCGAATATGCATCCTTGACGCGCATGTGTGTGCGGCGAGCTGGATTTGTTGGCGCGATTTTGAGTATAGTATGCAGCGGAACTACTGCCGCTGCTGTGTTGGAGCCGATGCGCGTTGGCGTTAACAGCACTTTTAGCACAGAGCCGTACGAATTTTCACCCAGACCACCAATTGGCTGCACAGATAATTCAAAGTCAACGAACTCATTGCGCACGGCAATCTCACGGTAGGCCTCCAAAATTTTTGGTGAAAGTTGTTCGCTTTGATGTAGTGGCTGTGTGAGTGAAGCACTCCTTACTGTGATGTTATGCTCTGTATTGGCCGCAGCGTCGTTGTACTTTGACATACTTGCAATTTATTTACAAACAAGTTAACGAAATAAATAAAAAAAAAAACTTAAATACTTTCACACTACAGTGCTTTGATCACTGACGAAATCTGTACGGTTAGTGGCGCTATGTTTACTAGTATATACGCTTCCGCTTCGTATATGTCCAACTGACCGACTGATTCTGCCAACTAATCGTTGACAAGCTTTTATAGCCAATCAGTTCAAGTGGCCGCTCTACGTTCTACGCTAAAAGAGATGCCTCCGTTTCGAATGCCGGCTATGTACAAACACTCTCTGGCGCGCTCAGCTACACTCGCGCACCAACTACAACGGCGATGAGCACGTGCTTTTCGCGCGCTTAGCATCATTGTGATAGCGGCGGAAATGCTTTTATTTGCATTTGTTTCTTCTACATTGCAGTTGCTGCTGCTGTTGTAGTGGTTGAGTTTATTGTCCCACCCCCCTTTGTTACAGGGTAGCTATTTACATACACTGGTTTGAGTGCAGTCGTTCGTTTTTTGCTAGCTAACTATTTGTCTTATCTCTATTGCAAATACTCGTACGCTCGTGAGCGTTAGCTATGCGAATTTTCAAACCGTTATTGATAAAAAAAGTTATATAAGCAAGCGATCTGTTTGCAAGTCAATGCACCGCTCTGACGAATGTAAAGTGCAAACAAATAAAAACACGAAGCTTTTGCTGAGTATTCGTAATTAGTACTTCTAATTCGTTAGATATTTTATAAATTTGTTTATGCATACATATGTATGTACACCAGTAGGCACATTGTAGGTGTGTTTTTCTAGTTAGGTTCAAGGCTGTTCATGCGGCGATAAATACCTAAATTAGTTGTGTGAAAAGTATGAAAAGTTCATTAACCTCAAGCAACAGTGTTAGAGTACCTGTTGATAGGGGTAAGAAAGGTAAGTAGTAAATAAACTGTAAGCATACGTCGTACGTTGAATGCACTACCCTAGTATACTTCAAGCAGAGCTTGACGCCATCAGTGTTTGTGCGGAAATTACTATGCAGGGGCAGACGAGAAAGCTGCGCATAGTTATCTGCAGTGACAGTAAGGCTGCATTACAGGCTAACCTAATATTCACGCACGCCGCCAATTTACTGTCAAAAATTTCTCATGCACATACAGCTTGTATGGGACCAACCGAAATTGAACGGCGTGCGTATGAAGCTAACTCAATTTCCAATTTTTGTTCTGCGTGACATTTTGATTTGACGTTTCGCTCAATGAAATCAAATGCAAACGCACGCAAGCCACGGCACAGAGGCAGACTGGCGCGGGAGGCCGCAGCCACTCGACTCATAGGACTTGAACCCTTCCTTGCAGTGGGGCCTCACACCTTCAAGGAAGAGTTAACAGCTAAAGAGCGTGGACTAAGGCAGTTGAAGGAACTTCTGGGAAGCTATAATCCCAAAGGATCTAGGGAACTAATAACCCTACAAAAGACTAACCTGCAATTTTTAACAGGGCAATTTTTTACGGGGCACTGTGTGTGTGATATGACACCAGAAACTCCACGGCGTCTACTCTTAGAATGCGATACGGTTGCGAGAAGAAGGCTAACACACCTGGGAAGGATGTGGCCAGAGGTTACGCATATCCACTCTGTGCCTCCCTCGAAACTGCTTGGATTCATCAGAGCACTGGAGTTAGACGAGCTGTTGTGATGAGCTCTGAGGGCACAATAGACCTAAGGTCGCAGTGCACATCCTCTGATAAATCTAAGCTAATCTACATTCTTTTATCACAGATTCGGATTTTGGGCACAAAAATACGTGACACTTGTTTGAAACATTTTTCTCGGCAGTGCCGTTTTCGACCTCTAAATGACATTCGAACTTCAACTGGTCCTGGACTTCTGAAATTAAGAAATATGTTTTAAACAGGAATACGAAAATATATGAATTACCAAGTCTGGGATGTTCTATATTTTGATCATAGTAAAGACTTCCGGTTTCTATCTATTCTTTTAACCGGAAGTACATTAAAAAAAGATCCCGACAAAAATTACGTATTTTTGTCCGCAGAATCCGAATCTGTGGTAAAAGCATGCATGTACCATTTAAAACTTCAGGTCAGTTTAACCCTATTGCGGTTGAAACCGGAAGTTCGTTAAGACCAGTTCGATTCTGGTTCGAAAGGACTGGTAAGTTTGAGTTACATCCGAACTATTTAATTAACGGAAACTGAGGATTTCAGTACATGATCGAACAGAGCTACATACATACATATATATGTTTTTTAGCAAAAGCTTCTTTAAGTACGTAGACAGATAAAAGTGTTTTAAAAACGCAAAAAACATTACAATTGTTTTCAAGGTGAAGTTTGTTGAGGTGAAGGAACTTACTAGTTTTTGCACACACTTACCTACATATGTACATATGTATGTATGTACGTGTGTATGTGCATACACCTATTGATTTACTAATGCTTGGTCCAGGGTTGCCACTGAAAAACTTTCTTTCCTACCAAGAGCGGGTTCAAAAACCTACCAAAACGGCTTCTTTCCTCCCATTTCTTTTAATTAAGAAAACGGTTTTAATACTTAAAATAAGATATCCAGTAAACAAAAAGATCAGAGTAATAGCTATTATATACATATATAGCACACACAAAAAAGTGGTGTGTGCCTTTAACCAGACCCACCTACCGACATGTATTTCGACCCACTGAATACGAATCTGAGGTCCCTTTGACTTCTTAACCCTCAAAATTTCGAGTAAATTGCGAAAAACCGAAAAAGTGGCAGAAAATTCGCAGTTTATAGTTTTAATAAACCCTTCGGAGTAAATGAAAAATCGTAGCGGAAAATAAAATTCCTTCGTCGACTTTTTTATCGCTCATTTCCATACATGCATATATTATGAAGTATGTACATATACATACCCAGCTACAACATTTGCCAGACAATTTCTGATATCAGACAAGTCGGAATAAAAAGTTGATTATTTAGACAAGTCTTACAGGTTTCCTACAGATTTCTGGGCGAAATGTCTGGAGTATTTTATTTATTTCCTTATCTGATATGTCTGATCGAATTATGTCCGATTTCGGGCATACACGTCTGATAATTCTTATTTTCCATGATTATTTGGTCAGACATCTGTTAGATATCCGTCAGAATCGTCGGTAATTAAGTCAGAATTTCCCATGTCGTGTCGGTTAGACTTCCTGTCAACCTCTCCATACGCTTCTCTGACCGATATCGGCCAAAATCATACAGATTTCTGACTTTTTTGCCGACGAGTCTGATGGATATCTAACAGATTTCTGACAATTTTGCTAGTTGGGTACATATTGCTACCTAAAGGTGAAAAGGTGCAAAGTCCACTTTTTTTTTAAATTTAGTTTGTGATGCAGAATGACAGATAATGCGAAACTATGTCGATTTTTCGTCTCTCCTGAACAATTTCAAAAAAAATGGACTTGGTACCTTTTCACCTTTAGGGAACGATATATACATTAGTAAGGTAAAAATAAACCTCACGGATAGGCCTGCCAAATGTCCAAATGTCCTACCATACTACCAGCCGGAAAAAAACATACCAATTTTGGTAGGAAAATACCAAAACGGCAACCCTGGCTTGGTCTATCTGTCAGCTGAGTTAAATGCAGTCATATCCGCATGCATTTAGCAAGCTCAACCGTTCTTATTTTTTCCGTGGCAGTGGTATCGTCACCTACATATATGCCCCCCCTCTTCGATGATGTTACCTTAACATTCATTCAAGTGCGTGCATTTGAGTTCAGAGAAAAAAGCTTTGGCACGGCGTGCATCCATTTCACAACTACTGACTGTCTAATAAACTTTGAGTGGGCAGAATGTGCAGTTGTAAATACGAGTATGTATATGTATATGTATGTATGTATTTGTTAAGTGCAATTGCTGCCGACTGCGGCTTGGTCGATTTGACTTTGTCGTTCTGGCGTTAGAAACGTCCTTCAACGCGAGCATTGACCGCGAATTCAATTATGGTGTTTTTTGAGGTAGCTAGCTGTTAGAACAAACACACATACCATATATGTATGTACATAGAAGTTTATGTATAATGACGTTTACTTGGACTAATATGATCTTTAAAATTACTTTCTTGTTTAGTAATTTATGCAGTCAACAATCGTAGATATGCATTAAATTGTTTATAGCCCAGCAAACAATTAGGTTTGATAGACATTTGAGAATGATTTCTCAACTTCAACTTCAACAACTTCAACTTTCTCAAATGTCAAACGTTTGAAAATGATTTGATATTCGGGCAGGTTCTGCAATTCAATACCTAGCGAATTTCAACCCCTGCCAATTTGAAATCAAAGCGAGTTTGATTGATATTCACACGGAAGTGAATTGCAGAACCTGCCTGATTGATTTCAAAATTACAGCTTTCTCAATCAATTTCAAAGGTTATTTATTAAATGTTTTTCAAATGTGGAAACAAACTTTATTATAGGAACGTATATTTTAATCACTAACAATCGTCTTGAAGGGCTGCACCTGGGAGTTTTGGCTGGCTATTTTCACCCCACGCAAACATCAAATAACATCGGGTTTTTTAATTAACAACGGCATTATTGTGAACTTTAATCTTCCACAACCCGGCCAGCATGCTGGTATCATGTATGAGATTTCTTATACATTTTTATTTAACACTTGACACTTCACAAATTTAAGACATGAACCATTCTTAGCAAAATGTATCGATAATTATAACGTTAACATGCTCCTTCAAATCAAACTCCGGAATTTCAAATGCAGAACGTAATCATCGTTTTCAATTAAAGAATCATTTGAGAAAAATATTTGATATCAATTTGATAAATAAATAAATTTTTCTCAAACGTTTGAAACATACATATGTACGTGTGTTCATGAATATTAGTAACAGTGACTAGAAAGACGATTCAACACTTTTGATTGGCGCTCATGCATTTTTAGCGGCTAAGCACTTAGCTGCTCAATCCAATCTGAGCTTTTGGTAAATACCCCTTAAACACTTACACAATGAAATATACGACTGTATGAAAAGCCAGTCTAAAGCTAGATAGAAAGAGATAGCCATCTACAAAATCACGTATAAAAATAACGACCCAGAATACACTCACTTCCTGTTAAACACCGCGCAGAAAGACTGCAGAATTATCACCGATATGGATGTAGTACATACATATGTAGCAGAGTTGTTGCGAATATTCGCATTCGCATTCGCAACCGCGGAGCTTCCGCATTAATTTTAACATTCGCATTCGCAATAATCAATGCGGATCTTTTGCGAATG